ACCTTTCATATATATAACGAATATAAGAACAAATAAGGACATATTACTAGTTCCTTTCCATTTTTCAAGCTAATCATTTAGCTATTCAAATAACATACCTTTAAATCAACTAGGTTTCATATAATGCCACTTTTAAACCTTTTTCTAATCAAACAAGGTTTAAATAAAGTTTTAAGGCCAAACCTGTTATTTTCTTCTCAATAACATTCAGACTATGATTTCCAATAATAATCTTGATCCTAAATCTTTAAATCACAAAGAAATAAAGATTCCAGACCACGGTAGTCTTAAGGGATATAATAGAAAGAGTTATATCATACAACACACATACAAATGCCACCCTTATATCAAATGTACACCTCTCCTTGATATGCCACCCTTATCCCATGATACACCTCCCCTTGATATGCCACCCTTATCCCATGGTACACCTCTCCTTGATATGCCACCCTTATTTCCTTATCAAAACATTTTACAAAAACAATTCCAAATAGACCGCAGTCAATGGAATTATTATCAATCCAAAATCATCTATATCAAAAATTCCCATTTTTATGATAAAATAACAATTTTTATYAATCAARCACCAGRCATAATACAAATCCGGTCAACTTGGCTTGGCCGGACTTCATCTCCGRTCAAATCTTGGYCGGTTTACCAAATCCGGACAACACATTGCTCAAGGCTTGTCCGATTTAACACTTAGAATAAATTTCAACACTTTTGTCCGGATAACAAGTCCGGACAATACATCGACTAAGACTTGACCGATTTAAAACAATCCGGTCACCATTTAGTYGTATTCCTACTTCTCAGTTCAAATACTTGGTATAAACTTAATAATCATAAATCGCTCAACACTTGTTCGGTTTAAGACTAAACCGCTTAAGCCTTAACCGGTTTAGGGTTTAAATCGCTTATGTCTTGACCGGATTAAGGCTAATCCGCCTAACACTTGTCCGGTTTAAGACTAATCCGGACAACACTCCAGAAAATAACTTTTAAATCAGAAGTAAAGTTCTATACTCAATTATACAAATTATGAAGAGTTAAAAAGTAGTAAGAACCAMYGACCTTAAAACCCTTTTGAAAATAATTGAATATACTTTGCTTCAAAAAGTATCCGGTCAACTTCCTCTTTTCTTTAAATTGCTCAAACTTTTAAAAATGGCAAGAAGAGGAGAAATGGAGGCTAAGCCCTCCTTTTATACCTTTCTAAAATTGGAAGGTCGGCTAAACAGCCCCCTTCCCATGTATATCCACTTCATGCATACACATGACATGCATTCATACTCACACGCACAATATGCATGTATGCTCACGTATACATACCATATTATATATGCATTTCATTTTGACTTACCACATATACATAATCTCATACATGCATCTACATTATGCACATAATTTTCACACACTAGCATGATCAAATATAACAATTTATCATGCTATCACGAAATCATTTAATCAGATAATCACACATTAATTACCTTGGGTGATAACCAAGATCCGGTTATCACACCTGTCTTGGCTTCAGATTCTTACCTATAGTCTGCTACCCTATTCTTGCATCTCCAAGAGCTTGTATTGGAGGTTATGCCATTGGAAATGTCTACGGCCACCTTGTCCAACAACCTCAACTGCTCATCCCACGTCCTCGGAAATGTCATACTATTTACCTTCTTCACCACCCGGTGCCGTACTTTGCCTTCTGCTAGAAGTCACAGTGATCTTTCCTCTCTCTCGGTTATCAATGATGGTTGCCACATCCAACTTTACTCGAAAGGTCTTGTTTGGTATCCTATCCAACATGGTGTAACCATACTTCCACTTGAGTATCCTCATTTCTACAACTTCTAACTTACTCACAAGTGGCTTCTTCATTGCTCACACTCCAACCTATACAACATGTCTAGTCTGATGGCTACCGTGTAGAAAGTTTCTTTCAATTTTAGCAGGACTTTCTCGCCGTACAGAACTCTCGTGGCAACTCTCAACTTTAGATAATCGGTCTTTATGGGATGTGTCACACCATCTTCTATTTCTTTCTTCTGAATCATGGAGCCTAAATACTCGAAGCTGTCCTTGTAAGGTATCCTTTGATTCCCATTGTAGACTTATACCTCTTTGCCGATACGTTCCCTGCTGAAGTTGCATCATAGATATTTGGTTTTGGAGTGACTAATGTTGCAACCTTGTGTTTCCAGAGTGGCCCTCCACTGCTTCAGCATCTAGTTCACCTCTGCCCTTGACTCTGCTACCAACATGTTCTCAGCGAATAACATGCACCTAGGAACACTTCCCTGAATTCCTTGGGAAATCTCATTTTAACTGATTGCCTTTTCCTTATCTTTTCTCTTTGGTTTACCATTTTTTTTCCATAAAGAAGTTCAAGATTACATTGGTCTTACTCTACCAAATATAACATCTATGCTCGACGCACATCACACCTGTTGCACTATTATACATAGTGTGTGTGTATCAACATTATTCTTTGTTTAAACTTGTATGTTTGTGTTGTTGCTCTCTGGGTGTGGCCATCTTAAGGCATTGAACCCCCAAAACTGGTAAAATGAGTCCGCCAGGCTGGTTTTGGTTATATGAAGCAATTTTTTGTATAAACTCTCTTAGCTTCTCTATTGCATTGCATTGTGCGGAGAATCCAGCTTTTACTATGACTGCATTCTTTATGTTGTGTTATTTCGGGGTGTATCAACTTGCATAAGAACCTAAACAGGTAAATACTAAATGATGATATATCTGGGCATTTTATTTCATATTTTGTGCCGGATGCTTTTGGGTTTTACACAGGTTATTACTAATCAGATGGTTGTTTTAACTGTGTAGGATGATGACACCAATTATCATATGGATCTAATTGCTGGACTTGCCAATATGAGAGCCAGAAATTACAGTATCCCTGAAGTTGATAAGCTGAAGGCCAAGTTTATTGCTGGAAGGATCATCCCTGCTATAGCAACTGCAACTGCCATGGCTACTGGCTTTGTCTGCCTAGAGCTCTACAAGGTCCTCAATGGAGGTCACAAAGTGGAGGATTATAGGAACACCTTTGCCAACCTGGCACTTCCTCTGTTCTCCATGGCTGAGCCTGTTCCACCAAAGGTGATTAAACACCAGGATCTGAGCTGGACGGTTTGGGACCGTTGGATCGTGAAAGATAATCCGACATTAAGAGAGCTTCTTCAATGGTTAAAAAACAAAGGGCTGAATGCTTATAGCATATCTTGTGGGAGTTGCTTGCTTTACAACAGCATGTTTCCAAGGCACAAAGATAGGATGGATAAGAAGATGGTGAATCTTGCCAAGGAAGTGGCGAAAGCGGATCTGCCGCCATACAGACGACATTTTGATGTGGTGGTGGCTTGTGAGGATGATGATGATGCCGATGTTGATATCCCGCAGGTCTCGATATACTTCAGGTAGATTGTGATTGGTCCTTTGGTTCCAGTTGGAGTTGGTTTTAAACAACAGCAGCAGCAGCAGAATGTGATACATTTTATGGAAAATTACTATTAAAACCAAGGTTTATGTACAAGATTATGTTCAACATCATGCAATATTCATTTTGTTTTACTTTGTCTGGCCTTTCTTCTTCTTCTTCTTCTTCTTCTTCTTCACATTGCATGGTTATATACGTGTGCTACCCATGCTTTTAAATGATCACATGGTGTTTTTCTGGGTGCATTATGGCATGATTTGTTTTAAACATGTTATTTGATTTTTTAATTTATTTATTTTCCCGTATTTTCTTTTATCACATGTGCACGATTTTATGAGTTGAACTGTTTTTTCATTTTGTTTACCTCTATGGTAGGATGAATTTCTTTTCAAACACTTTTATTTGCCTAACCATGAATGCATCATACCTTTCTTTAAGAGTTCTCCTTGTGTTAGAATTAAGAACTGAAAGGAGTAGAATAGATCACCTTGTTACTATTTATATAAACCATTAGGTATCAAATTTTGAGAACCTAAAACCCCATAACCTTCATTGACTTCCCTGGTTAAACAAACTAGACAATTGCGCTAAGCAAATGAAATTGAGAAAATACATTTTTTTTTCTATAGCTAATAACAAATTTAATCAGAAAACCGATAGATTCATTGGTGGCCAGATTTTCACAGTGCAAAGTTGAGGTCTACTTATGTTATGGCTAATCACAACAACGAATGCCCTCTTTCCTGCTTTTAACTCCACATATAAAAATACAAGTCAAAATCAACAAAAGAAAAAGAGAGTAGAAGACGCAGAGTGTAACCAAATGAGGGATAAAATTATAAAACAATAGTCCAACAATTTTTTGATAACATTGCTACATGAAAGGTGGCGCATTGCAATTTATATTAGTTGCTACAACTTCATAACCTGATGCAAATGAACTCGTGTAAGAATTCGCTCCATTTTCCCTCTTTTAGTTTCCCATGTAATCCACTAGATTCTAAAAGAGAATGCATACAAGAAACCATATGCAATTAATTAATAGTGTCATGTTTCCACGAAGTTGAACAAATAACGACTTCTCAAAATTGTAGTACTTGTATACCAGAAGAGCTAAACTGAGTTGAACCACCACGTCTAGCATAACGGGCTACATAACTTCTGGCACGATGATTGGAAGTGCTACCACCACCACCACCACCACCACAAGGCCTACATTTTGTCATATCCTTATATTGAGTGCAAATAAAAGCAAAAATAAACTACTCAAATGAGCAATTTAATAGCATATTGAATCTTGTAGTACCTTTGAACAACCAAAAACAATGTATCATAAGACAACCCAATTGATGACACGTGATAAATTACATAAAAAACTTATATATACCATGAGTGCAAGACGAATTCACATAAGCATGTAATAATTGACCAATTTGTTTAAATATTATGTACATTATGGTTACAGTGAATAACTTAAGTAGAAATATAAAAGAAGTAATGTACACAAAGATGTTGGAGGGGTATCTAATTGACTATAGGCCAAGAAAGAAATTGTAAAAGATCGCAAAGTTGAATCAAGAACTGTAATTACCAGTAAGAAGGAAGTCTAGATTTAAACACGAAATCCTTCATTTATGTAAACAACAATTTTCAAACTACATGAGTACACAAATCACCAATTAGCAAATCCTTCACCCTATATAAACGGCAGTCTTCAAAAGTAGCCACATTCTATATGTATCTTTTCTTGATTATGCCATATTATTTTTTGTCTCGTTCAAATTCACCAGTAACAACAAATGCATGCACATAAACTATAAGATTTTACTCCATCTATCCAAACAAAGTTGAAGTTTAGTAATAAGATCTCAAAAGTTAAGTCCTCTTCACCAGGTTAGCATGTTTCTTGGTAAAACCAATGATATGCATTGAGTATTCAATGTATTAAACACTCATTCTAATAGTTTTTTAACTAGATATTTTCCTTTTATCCCAAATCTTGAGTCATTTTCATTACATTATTTTTCTTTTATTATTTTATGGAGCTAAGTGTGTGATTTACTTGTTTCTACACAAAAGGATGGCTAACTCGATCAAAATGCAAACTATTTTATGCTGCAACATTTGTGCAGCATGATCTGCTGGAATTGTGGCTTTTTGGAGGGCTGCATGCATTAAGCTGCTGAATTTCATAAAGACAAGCTCTTTTCAGTTGTGGATCAAATCTAGAACCTTCCCTGAATAATCTATGGGTTAATATCCACTTTGTACTTAATGTGATTATCCCTTTTTACTTTTGTACATTTTTGTCTCTTTTGTTGCAACCTTATCTTCTCTAGGGTTTTGTCTTTTCTTCCCCTATTTTTGTATAAATAGGGGGTTGGGTCTTTGTATTTCCACCATCAAAAATCAGTTCCAAAACTGATTATCTCTACACTTTGAAGCAATTTAAGTTTGTTCGTTACTTTTCGTCCTTTACTTTCCGCTCTTTACATTAAGTCATTTACTTTTCATAATTTATATTTATGTCTTTACTTTCCGTTATTTTCTTTTCTTGTCATTTACTTTCCGTTATGAGTAGCTAATTCTATAGCTTGGGTGTGAGACAAAGGGTGATATTTTAAGCCGAAGTAAAATAGACGTTGTTTTGCAATAACAATGTTCCACTATTTCATTCAAGTTCTATAAAAACCAATGACACTTATTGACAAGTTGATCACTTTAAAAGGGTTAAAGTGCCATGGTCTTAGAGATAATCCATTGAATGCACGTCAACTTGAATGATATGAGAGGTAGACTTGAGAAAGTTTTCGACAAAGAGACTTGTCACTTATATCTTTCAAACTAATTAATTTTAGACAGGTTGGTCACTTTTTAAAGTGTTAATGTGGTAGATTCAGAGATGAACTACTTAGAACACACACAAACTTGAATGATATGGGAATCGGCTCGAGAGAGTGATAACAAAGAGATTTGTTTATCCATATATTTTGAGAACACCATTCATCACTATCCATGGTCCTGATACCATATAGAGATATGAGTTGAAAGCTATAATATAGTGCAATGGTGGTAGTCCAAGAGGAATACCCTCAAAATAGATGGTGGAACTAGTTATGGCTGACTACTTGCTGTAGCATCCCTACAACACTGTCCGCTGGAATTTGTGTTTATGTCTCACCAAAAGTCTTACACTCATGCTACCTTTATTTATTATGTTATTTGCATTTGTTAACTCAGATATAATCAAAATCTTCAAATTCGTCATCTGAAGTTAGTCTTTCAACTCGAGATCTTGCAACTTAAGATGCCTATCCCTATGGAATACGATACTTGGTACTTACCATTTTATTACTTGAAGTATAGTGTTGACACGTGTATACTTGCATGTGTGAAAGATCTAGAGATTGCTTTCAAACTTGCTAAGGATGGAAGTCTGCAGAGAAGACTTTGGAAATTTGAGTTGTAGATTTCGAAAGATCTGAACTGAAGAGTGCTCACAAAGTCTAAGTCTATGTCTGAAAGACTTACCTTCAGATTTCTGGATTGGAAGACTTCAGAGTTCGTGTGAAGATCTACTATGCATACAAGTACAAAGTCTGAAGAGACAATCTTTAGAGTTATTTCAAGAGAAGATCCGAAGAGCGCCTAAGTGTCAAATCTGAAGACGAAGTCTGAAGACCTTGAGTTAAGATTTATTCTCAATCTGAACGAGAGGATGATGCTGATCCTGTAACAACTTATTAGCGATAGAGATTAAACTGTAGGAAGGTTAGGCATCTTGCCAGGGAGTGTAGATTCAAGAAGTCAAGAGAATCTGACTATTACTCCAAGAAGCTGCACTTGGCCAAGAAGAAGGAGCAAGGCTAAGTGCTTATGGCTGAAAATGAAAACTGGCTTGAATGGTCCTCTTAAGATGAAGAGACTGCTCACTATGCAAGGTCATTCTTCATGGCATCTTTGGAGGAAGAAGGGACTTCATGATCTGACTCAGAGGAGGTTAAAAATACTTGACTCTGAACTACTTACTAAATTAGAATCAATGAGGACCTTAAAAATAGACTCAAAGGAGAAATAATATTGGTCAACAAATTCAGAGAAGAAAAAAGAAAGTTATAAACATAATGATTTACATGTTGAAAAGCAAAATGAAGATCTAGAAAGTGAAAGAACCAATCTGTCTGGAAAAATATCTTATTTGAAAAAGGATTTCGAAAAGATCAAAGTTGACAATGAGCTTCTAAGAGTTCAATATGACTTTATCTTTAAAGAAAGAATTGACTTGTATAAAAAGATTGAGGAATCAAAGGAATTGTTGGTCTCGTTAGGGAGAAGGGGGGGGGGGGGGAATACAAACACAATAAACTTTTCAAATTTAAAATATATATTGATAAAGAAGGATCAATACAGATTTTACAAGATTGTTTGTGGAAAAATAAGGTAAAAATAACCTATCTAAACAATCTAAGTTACACACTAGTTCTTAGCAAATAGAGAAAAGATTTGCTGTAAAAGATATAGAAGGATGTTAGTTCTTTCTGGGTAAGAACTATTTAGAATACAAAAAAGGGATTCTAACTTGCTTTTGAAGATAAACGTATTGTGTTCTTAGATGTGTGTTCTTTTACTTATGAACGTAAGTTAGGGTTCAAGAGTAAGTATTAGAGTATCTGTGCATGGAGATAGAACACATCTATTTATACCATTGCATTAAATGCACATTTAATGCAACATTGTAGGGTTTGAACACGTGTCAAGCCTTTAGACAAAGACTTGTCCTTTGCTACAGTGAAATAGTACAAAAGCTTATTCATGGGCAGCCATCTTTTCATAAAGTTGGTGGGTAGTAGAGTCAATTAATCGGCTCCAGACTATACAATACTTTAGAAAGGGTATGGGTTTGTCCTTTGTGTGTATAAGGACAAGACAAAAGCAATCGTGCTCAACAAGCTTCTTTTGATCGCTGAATGCCGGAATAACCTGAAGGCCTCTTCAGCATTCACTGAGGCTTAGGCAATCTTCACACATGTGTAGACCAGGTTGTAATCACTGAATACCGCTTCAGGTCACATATTCGCCAGTCTCTAATCTTCAGTTTCAGTCTTCGACTTTCCCTGAAGGTTCTTTGGTGTGAGTTTTGTCTTCT